ATCCTACTCCTGGAGACGATGAAGACTCCGCTCTCCATGAGCTCTTGGGGCTCCAGTTCCAAGTCCTTGATGATGTTGCTGATGAAGGAACCCTTCTCTAGCTCCTCAGGAATAGAGTAGTGGATCTGTGCAGTTCTGGCTCCAAACAGCCACCACAGATGCTGGCACCTCCGCAGAGCTGCCATAACTAGCTTTATGAACTTCTTTGGGAATATGAGTAGGAAAAACAGCGACAGATCACTTTGCATTCCTCAGAAACAGAGATCAAGGTCCTTAAATGAGCGGAGTCCAGTAGCGAATCATTTCTGGATGGAATTTCTGCATACTTATGGTGTCTGATCTGTTTTGTGGTTGGATGATGTAATTTGCAATTTAAACTTGCAGGTGTGGCCTGCAACACATGATAGGATAGCCAGGCATTGTGTCCTCAATCAGTGTCCACCACCACTACCTTGATGACCAGGTAGCCGGGCTCCATGGCTCAAGGAACAGTGTCATTGGGCGCTAGCACGGATTAGCGCACCTGTGAAACATTGTCATTGTGGTCGCATATCAACACGCACAGGCCTGCAGAGTCAGCTCAAAGGAATGAAGCTGCTCCTGGTAGAAGGCTTCCTGCATGCAGCATTATAATGCTTGAGGCTCCAGGTCGTTGGCCATAACAGAGTAGGGGACTTGGCCATTGGGCTCCAGGTCTGTGTCGAAGGTGCTAATTTAAGCAATGGGGGCTCCAGGAGGGTTGTTTTCTGCTATATAGACTACATAGGAGGCCTGGTAGAAAATTGTGATGTTATTGTTGATGTCAGTGATGTACAGGGTAAAACTTGTGCCTGAGGAGGGGAGTGAGTTGCCTTTGTAGGTGGCTATAATAATAACATTGTACTCTGGGATTTCCTCCCTGTCCAGGGCACTATCTGTCACCAACCCATGTGTACGTTTTTATCTTAAACTATTTTAAATGAAAATTTCCCTTTTAAGTTGCACAGGATTTCCCCCATTAAATCCAGAATCTAGATCACATATCTTGATCAGAGCAACAGTAGTCCCCAGCTCAGCATCCTTTTCTATATGTTGGGATTCAGAAGCCAGGGTAATCTCCAGAGCATTGTTTTTATCCAAAATATCTATTTGTATCTTACTCTGTGCACTGTGACTTTCACCATCTTTTGTTTCTACCAAAGTATGTAGCTCTGTCTTCAAAGTCCAATCCTCCAGCAGTGGTGAGTTCTCCTATTTTATCATCCAACTTACAACAGTTTTCTCACGACTTTACCAACATTGATAAAGGAGTAGGTGATCTTGGTATTGTCACTATCATCTGGATCAGTGGCCAACACTTAGCAAGGAGGATCCAGCAGGTAGGTTCTCTTGAACCCTGATCCTGTACATATCCTGAGTAAACGCTGGGGGATTATCATTTGCATCTGCAACAATTACCCTGATCTGGGTGGTGCTGCTTCTGGAGGGCTCTCCTCTGTCTATAGCCATGAGGACCAGGTGGTGGAAGAACAGCTTTCATCTGTCGAGGGGTGCTTTCAGCACCAGCTCTGGGTAACTACTACCATATGGGTTCTTCTTTTGAATTACAGAAAAGTGGAGATCAGGGCTGAGGACTACTTTGTAGCAGTACTAACTGCTACAAGGACTTGACACCTGCATCAGCATCTTGTACAGATTCCAGGGAAAATGTAGCTCCTGTTATTGCCAGTTTGCTAATTTCCACCTCAGTGATATTTCTGCTAAAGGTCAGTGGGTTGTCATTGATGTCCTTGATCAGCACAGTTATATGAAAAAAGTTCAAAGGCTTTTCAGCAACCATTTCAAATTCCAGAACACATGTTGAATTCTTGCCTCAAATCTGCTTAGTCTATATCATCCTCACAAGTCAGTCCCCATTCTCTGTGTTCATGGTAAAGAATTTCTTTTCTGCATTAATCCTCAAGTTCTGAGTAGGTACTCCACCATGCCAACCCCAGATCTTTTGCAAGGTTCTCCACCAGCAAGCTCCTGGAAAGCTCTTCAGGAATAAAGTAGTGAATCTGCTCTGAAAGCTCCTGGCTGTACAAAGACAACAGGAAGAGAAATGGCATTTGCCTTGGTCTTGCCAGGCACCTTGGACTGGAGTGGTTTCCCATCCATTCTCTTCTAATTCCTAGGAGAGGAGATCACTAAAGGATCCCAAGAATTTAGATGAATGACCACTTGCTTTGTCTTTGTGATGGTTCTCTGATGGGTATCTTCATGGCAGGCAGTTGATGAGAGACTACACTTGAATATTTTAAATATTTAATCTGGCTGTCATTTCTCTGAACTTGAACTTCATCCACCCAAATGAAAGATGTTTTACTCATCAGAAAACAGAGATAAACTTGTTCAAGTTATTATTACCATCATCATATTTTTAGCTTCCATATTTATAAAATGGACACAATAACATATTCCCTATTCTTAGTAGAACTGAGAACTCAATAAAATAGCAAATAGAAAAGCACATAAAAGAAAGTGTTGGTGACTGCAGAAAATGTAGTATAAAAATTCTTGAAGTATTAACTTGATGTGTTTTATTATTTCAAGGAATAAACTTCAGAGCTCTTAGTTTTGTACTATATTTCACTTTCTGAAAAATATTTCCTTTATTATTTTACCCCCAAAAGAACTGATAGGTAAGCAAGAGGCTGATTATTTTTATAAAGTAGGAATAGATTAAGAAGCAAGAGTCTCTTTTCCTAGTGTTCACGTGTCTACTTTTAATTAAAAGAGTATGATTGAAAAACTCTTTCACAAGTGATGTTTTTCAATACTACATTATAACTGTCCTCAATTGTACTGTTTCTTTCCAAGTAGCTTAACGATGGAGAATTATTTGGATTTTGGGAGATGAAGTATGAGTCCTCATACTTCAAGGTTATTGTATGATGATCTCAACATTTTTCATTAACATTCTTCCTTTGTCAATAAGAATGTTAATTTCTGTGTTGTGACAGGTGTCTTACAGTTTTAACTCCATTTCAAAACTAGAAGGACTTCATAAAGAAAGTGTCTCTAATCTACATATTATACTGTTACTCTAAAACTTGGAAGGTGTGCAGCAATATGAAGTCAGCTTACAAGGGAAAAACTTTAAAGCATGTTAAACTGCTCATTGCATAACCATTCACTGGCATCTTTATACAAACATAAAAAAATTAATGAGGAGTTAGGAGTGTAACTCAGTGGTAGAATGAGTTCTTGCCTAGCAGGAGCAAGACTTTGCATTTGATCCCCAAACCACTAAAAATATATACTGAATCAAGACTGCTTCAAAACAGCCAAGCAAAATGACTTTCCACCATTCTATGAACATTAGTACAGGAAATTTATCTCTTCAGAGCACAAATAAAACTAAAGATTCAAATATTTGAAAGTAGTATAATACATATACTGACAGTGTGTGCAGCAAGCATTTAAAATGCAAGTCTATTGGTAGTTTAGAGAGGTTTAAAAGATGTTTGTCCATTGCATACAAAAGTTATCTCAGGATACATACCCAAACCTATAACTTTTTCTTTAAACAGTAATGGAAAAGTGATTTTCCATATAGGAGCAAGTGAGGTCAGCATCTATCATACTGATTCTTCTGTAATTTTTTGGATGCATTAACTATTAAGTGATTTTGCATATTTTACATTGAGGTTAGGATTTTTCATATATATATATATATATATATATATATATATATATATATATGTGTGTGTGTGTGTGTGTGTGTGTATACATATATATAATTGGATGTCATCTAAATAAATATTTAAAAATAAAAATCAAGTGGTTCTGTTTTTCTAAATGTGTCAATAAGTCACATGACTGAGTAACATAGTCTATATTCCCCTAATAATATTCAACTGCCATTTCCTCCCATTTATTAATAATTTGCCACTGATGTTCAAAGTGTCAAATGTATAAAATTTGAACGATTTAAAATCTTTTAGTAAAAAGTATCTGAAAATCATTTTCAGCAAAGAGGCAGAAAATCAATCAAATTAAGTAGTTCTTCCCTTCCATGACCCGAATTCATGAATTTGAAACTCAGACTAGCATTTTAACTAAGAAAAATCTATTAATTTAAAGTAAACACAGTCCTCAGAAATTAACTTTATAATTTCAAGCCATTCTTATGTTGCATTGATTTTCAAATACAAACCTTAGACTCTTGTAATAAAGCAGAATTATCCTCCAATACAGAAATACAATCATTTTAGCAGATATTGATTCTGTTAAGTGACTACCTGTAACGAGTGATGCCAAGTGTATGATATATTTACACTTGTTGAATGTAGCAGAATCTCTTTCTTGAGACTGTAACCCATATCACAGAATGAATTACAATTCTAAAGTTTCTTCTCACCGGTTTTTTCTCTCAACAAATGTGCATATCCAATAATTACATGGGTTAACCAAAACTTTTCTGATTTCAGAATGCTACAGACATGATCATCACTATAAATTAATCCTACATTTCTGATATTGTGCAGAAGGTTTCTGTACTTGTCCACTGATTTATGCAAGTACTGTAAGCCATTTCCTTATGTAAACTTCAAATATACTAAAATACAAATCCTATAGATATCTTTCCAAAACATGTTCACTAATAGTGTCTAGGCAAATATTCAAAAGAGTACAATATGTCTAACTACTTGAATTCATAGAACAACTCTACTATCAACAGAATAGCTGTTCTGAACTAACAAAATCTCTGAGTAAAGTATTATATTTACCACTTTATTTTAAGATCGGCACTTCACTTAAGTCTACTGTTAATCAGATTTTCCAAAATAAGCACAGATTGAGAAAAAATAATAAGTCCAAAGCAATTTGAAAATAAATGGAAAAAGCATCAATTATCAATTAAAATAAAGTTAATCTGCAATAAAGCAAATAAGGATTCACTACATAATTAGCTGATTTTGAATGTGGCAGAAAAATCATTGAGAAAACAAAGGAAGAAAATGCTCCAGGCATTCTTACTGTAAGAAAGAACTAACCTGAGCAACTCCTGGTTCTTCTTTGTTTGCATTTGCCTTATCAGACACCAGAAGAGGTTCACTTTTCTCACAACTCTGTTCACTAATGAGAGTGTCTGCGTAGTTGGGTTGGGGAAAGATCAGGTGGCTCTTCCTGGAGTCTGCAGTGAGGGAGATCTCATGGGAATAGGTCTGCAGGAAAGCCTGCACCCCATCCATGCCCACAATGTGGGAGGTGGGCATGCCTGCCAACCTGCCTCTGGAAACCTGGAGCAGGCGTGATGAGTGCCAGCGTCTTAGTCTAAGCGCCAGCATCACAATGACAAAGGCCAGGAAGACACAAGAGACTGCAGCCACTGCTACCACAAGGTAGAGTGTAAGCTCTGAATCATCAGAGTAGGAAGGGGGCTTGATGCTACCCAGATTGGCCAGAACATCAGGGATACTGTCAGCCATGGCCACTGTGAGTGTGACAGTGGCCGAGAGAGGGGGCTGGCCATGGTCCTGAACAATCACCAGGAGGCTCTGCTTGAGAGCATCTCTATCCAGTAGCGTCCGTGCTGTGCGCACCTCACCATTGTGCAGCCCCACTGAGAAGAGCCCTGGTTCGCTGGCCTTGAGCAGGCGGTAGGACAGCCAGGCATTCTGTCCTGAGTCTCTGTCCACTGCCACCACCTTGGTCACCAGGTATCCAGGCTCTGCAGAGCGGGGTGCCAGCTCTACACCAGTGGAACCATCAGTAGGAATGGTGGGGTACAGGATCTCAGGGATGTTGTCATTCTGATCCAGCACAAATAAGTTCAGTGACACGTTGCTGCTGAGTGGAGGGTTCCCACTGTCACTGGCTTTCACCAGTAGCTGCAAGTCTCTTAACTGCTCATAGTCAAAGGAACGTAGTGCATACAGGACACCAGTTTCTGAGTTCATGGAGACATAGGAGGATAGAGGCACTCCCTGTAATGTATATTCTGCCAGGGAGTAAGTGATCCTAGCATTATCACCACTGTCAGGGTCATGGGCTGTCACAGAGAAGATAGAAACTCCTCTGGGGTTGTTCTCTGGGATTGAAGTAGAGTAGGAGGCCTGAGAGAAGGTAGGTGGGTTGTCATTGATGTCTGCTACTTTCAGGGAAATTTGATTTTCTGTAGACAGGGGTGGGGTGCCATGGTCGGTAACAGTTACTGTGATATTATAATCTGAAGTCTCTTCTCTGTCCAGAGTTCTTGTTGTTAATAGGTGATAGTAATTATCAACTGACCTTACTAATTTGAAAGGCAAGTTCTTCGGAATAGAACATGAAGTCTCACCATTCTCCCCAGAATCAACATCATGTATGCTAAACAGTGCGATTATGGTCCCAGGAAGACAGTCTTCAGAAACAGAACTGCTAAAAGTAGTGAGTATCACTTCTGGGGCATTGTCATTCACATCTTGTACTGTGATCAGCACCTTAGCACTAGCAAGAAGAGCACCTCCATCTTGAGCTACCACTTCCATGAGGTAGAATCTGGATTCTTCATAGTCCAGGGATTGAATAGTTGAGATTTCCCCCAGAGTGGAATCAAGTTGGAACGTCTCCGAAATTTTGTCTTCTTCATTGCGAAAAGAGTAGGTCACTTTCCCATTTATTCCCTCATCTGCATCTGTGGCGGTCAGAGTCAGTAGCTGAGTTCCCACAGGTATGCTCTCTGGAACACTCACTCTATATTCGGATTGGGTGAAGAGGGGCGCGTTATCATTTGCGTCCAGGACTGTCACGCGGATCCACGTGGTGCTAGAGAGTACTGGGTCTCCGCCATCCAAGGCTGTGAGAAGGAGTTCGTGAATCGCCTCTTTCTCGCGGTCCAGGGGCCTTTCCAACACTAACTCAGGGTAATTTTGCCCGTCAGTTCCGCTCTTCACGTCCAGGGAGAAGTGAAGATTGGTGCTCAGCTGGTAACTCTGGAGGGAGTTCACACCCACATCCGCATCTCGTGCGAAGGGAAGCACTAAGCGAGTTCCCACAGCTGCGTTTTCATTAACTTTTACTTTTAGTTCCTCCTCCCGGAATCTAGGAAAGTTATCATTAATATCAACTATTTCCACTTCTACTCCATAAATTTTCATTTTATTCTCAACCAAGATGTTAAAGTTCACCAGACACCGCGCGCTCTGAGCGCAGAGCTCCTCCCGATCTATCCTTTCCCCTGTGACCAAGCTGCCGCTTCGCGGGTTCAGAGAGAAAAGCTGCGTCCTACCTCTGGAGACGATGCGGACTCCGTGCTCCACCAGCTCGTGAGGTTGCAGACCCAGGTCCTCGGCGATATTGCCCACGAAGGAGCCTTTCTCTAATTCCTCGGGCACCGAGTAGCGGATCTGCCCGGACCCTGGCTGGCACAGCGTTCCCAGAAGCATGAAGGACAAAAGCAGGTCTCCGCAGCCCCAGCGTCTCAGTAGATTCGCCATTGCTTTCTCTTCCCTCAATTCTGTTAGTCCTGGTTCAGCCTGCTGTTTCCTTATTTCTTTAAAATCGAGGAGAGCATATTCTTTGGCGGAATTGGGACGGGCGGCAGTTCCCAGAAGCTTGCCTAGTCGTGTTTAGTATGGAAGAAGCTGAGAGTCCAGTTGCTTCTGTGACAGATTCTTTCCCACTTTGGTGAACAGCGACGCTCAGAGTCCTAATCAGTTACTACACCAATTCTATTTTTATTTCCCATGACTTTAGTTATATTTTTATTTCCAATAATTTTGCATATCCTTAATGTATTGTTGACATTGTTTATATTTAATCAAGTTTCAAATCTGAAACAGTTTCACAAACCGCTGAGACCAATTATTATATTCTTTTTTACTTTCTTAGAAGTTTTATTTTATGTACCATTGAACCTCTATCATTTATTTACCACTTGAGTTTCTTTAATTAAAATACCTAAATTCTTACCTTTGCCAATTTAAAATTTTTTATTGGGATACACTTAGGAAAACCTTCATATTTGTACGTAAGAATGCCAAGAAAACAAACCCGGGAGGCCTTCTCAAAGAGGCCTACTGATTTGAAAATTCTATTAAGTGTCATATGCAGAAAAGTATAGGCCTCTGTTACTTGTGAAGTCTTTGAGAAAATTTATAGATTTTTTAATCTAAGAATATGGCAGCTACATTGAGTTTATGCTGGATTAACTGTGCATTAATTATATTTTCCTATTACATTATTCAAATATGCATAGCGAGACATTGTATAGTGATAAGCTTTTGGTAGAAATCAATATAATGACTGTGGAGTACAGGGCTTTAGTTTATCATTCATATAGAAAAGTGTACCTAGATATTTACTGCGCAGAGGTGTTTTCGTGTTGAGACAGATATTTAGTGTTATTACTTTTGCATGATAACATATAAAAAAATTATGGTTGGGAAAATAGATATTTTTTGGCTTTCAAAGAGTCTGTCAAGTTGAGAAAAGCATTTTTTACTTAATGGCACCTTGATAGAAAAATTTTTTAAATGAGATGTTCTACATCTATAATGTTAAAATTAAAAGTCATAAAGTTTGAAGTAGTATTTGGTAGAAGATGACATAAACATAGGTTTCAGAATTTTCTTCCATGTATAATTTTTCTCAGGAACAATTTATTAATATGCAGGAAAGAGGATGATTTCTCACATTTATTAAAATCACTCTTAATAATAGATACTTCAGCCTTTGAACACTGTTCATCCTTTAAGAATTCATCTGGGGTTTAGTGATGTAGCTCAGTGATGGAGCATTTGCCTAATACATTGGCCCTGGGTTTGATCCCTAGCACTGAAAAAAAAAATCTGAGATACCAGGACACTCAGCTTGCTAAGACATTTAAATAGTGTTGATTTCAAATCAATGGAACAATGTTTTGTGCATTTTCTGTTGTTAGCAAGCCATGACCTGGGTAGCTCCCCCACCATTTCCATAAACTATTAAGTTGAGTAATCTCTTACGTCTTAAGTGCTATAAATTCAAGAGAAAATAAAGCTAAACTTTACCATGAAGGTAAAAGCAATTGCTTAAATTCCCAATAGTAATCAACCTTTAGATGAAAGGAATACAAAGACAGGAAGAAAAAGAGTATCTCTTGTGGTAAACACTTGTAATTACAGACAAATAAACTTCCTACTTCAGATAGAAAACCAATATTTAATGTTTAGTTAGAAAAGATTAAGATAATTAAGGAAGAACATTGACCAAATATGACTCACAAGACAATAAAACATGCAACAAAGTGTCTCATCCCAGTTACATGTTTTTAAAAGAAATACGAAGGCCCCAAGTGAAAGTAAATGAATCAAAGCTCACCTTTAAAGTAGTATCTGAGGAAAAGGGAACATTAGTGTTGTCATGATTTGTACATGGTACCCAAGAGGCATCTTCACAGAGTAGATCCTCAGGAGGAGCCATTTCTGGTGTCACATTGAGAAAATTAAACTCTGTTTTAGCTGATTGTGAGGCAACACACACATTGTAAGAGTAGGGCAATGTTCCTTCACTGTGATTGGGGAGAACCCCAGGCCCAGACTTGAAGCTCAAACCTGGTTCAAAGCAACCCCAGGCAGCAGAACTGAAGGAGTGTCTCAGGCGCAGAGCAATAGCTAGAATCACCGCCAGAAGGAACAGCACAGAAATCAAGGCCAAGGCCAACACCAGGTAAAACTGCAGCTCAGTCTGGGGGTCAGTGGGCAGAGGGTCATCGCTGAGGTCTGGCAAGACCTCTTGCAGGCTATCCGCGAAGATCAGGTGCAGCGTGGCAGTGGCGGAAAGGGGTGGCTGTCCACCATCACGCACAGCAACTAGTAGGCGCTGGCGAGTCGAATCCCTGTCGCCCAAAGCACGCGCTGTGCGCACCTCTCCAGTGCGCAGCCCCAGGCTGAAGAGTCCGGGATCGCTGGCCTGCAGCACATGGTAGGATAGCCAGGCATTGTGTCCCGAGTCCGCGTCCACCGCCACCACCTTGGTGACCAGGTAGCCGGGCTCCGCGGCGCGCGGCACAGTGTCGAAGAGCGCTGAGCCATCGGGAGCGAGCGCGGGGTAGAGCACCCGTGGCGCGTTGTCGTTGCGGTCTCCTACCAACACGCGCAGGCTCACGTTGGCGCTGAGAGCTGGTGAGCCATGGTCGCGCGCTTGCAGCGTCAGCTGGAAGACTCGTAGCTGCTCGTGGTCGAAGGCTCGCTGCGCGAACACCACCCCACTATGTGCGCTCACGGACACATAAGACGACAGTACCTGAGGCTCCAGGTCGCTGGCCATGATGGAGTAGGAGACTTGACCATTGGGGCCCAAGTCCGGATCATAGGTACTGACCTGAGCGATGGAGGCTCCAGGTGGATTGTTCTCAGCCACATGGGCCACGTAGGAGCTCTGTTGGAAAACTGGCGCATTATCATTGACATCTGAGATGTGCAGGGTGATCTTTATCGTGGAGGAGAGAGGTGGCTTGCCCCTGTCGGTGGCTGTGATGGTGATGTTGTATTCTGGGATCTCCTCCCGGTCTAGAACCCGGTCTGTCATTAGCTTGTAGTAGTTCTTCAAGGAAGATTTCAATATAAACTCTGAATGTCCCCGAATTTCACAGTAAACTTCTCCATTGTCTCCTGAGTCTCTGTCTCTCGTTTTTATCAAGGCAATCACTGTTCCTGGTGGTGAATCTTCTGGCAGGGGAGCAAAGACTGAAGTCACAATCACTTCAGGTGCACAATCATTCTCATCGAGAATTTCAACTTGGATACTGCAATGGGATGCTAGATCTCCAGGATCTTTTGCTTCTATACTCAGAGTGTAACTGTTAGCAATTTCAAAATCCAAATTATCCTTTGTTGTGATTTCTCCTGTTCTTTTGTCTAAGTTGAAAAAATGTTCCACTTGTTCATCCACATTATGAAAGGAATAGGTGACCTCTGCATTGACACCCTCATCCTGGTCAGTGGCCATCACTCGAAGCACTGAGAAGCCTGGGGGGACATTCTCCCGCAGGGTGACCCTGTATACATCCTGGCTGAACACTGGAGGGTTATCGTTGGCATCAGTGACTTGAATTCGGATCTGGGTGGTACCACTTTGAGGTGGTTTCCCTCCATCCACAGCTGTGAGAACCAGCTGATGAAAATTGTGCTCTTCTCTGTCCAGAGACTGTTTCAAAATCAACTCAGGATATTTACGTCCATCTGGAGCCTGTTTTTCTGCGAGATCAAAGTATTCATTGTCATTAAGGTGGTATCTTTGCAGTGAATTAGGACCAGTATCTGAGTCCAGAGCTGGGTCTAATGGAAATGTTGTACCTGGTTTGGTGGATTCTCCAATTTTTAAGTCAATTTTACTCTGTTTGAATAATGGAGGGTTGTCATTTATATCCTGCACAATGACTGCTACGTGATAAATATTAAATGGGTTTTCAGCGACAGTATCGAAATCCAGAATACACTGAGGCTGCTTCCCGCAAATTTGCTCTCGGTCTATTCTGTCACGCACAGTTAAGTCCCCACTCAGTGGGTTTAAAGTGAAATATTCCTTTTCTGCGCTAATCCTCAGTTTCCGGGCTGGCAAATCCTGGACACTGAGCCCCAGATCCTTGGCGAGGTTTCCTACCACTGTGTTCTTATCCAGCTCTTCCGGAATCGAGTAGTGGATTTGGTCTGGGAGAGCCCGGCAGAACAAAGACAGCAAGAAAGGCAACAGTACCTGAAGCAACAGCGCCAGCCTGCTCCTCCGGGCGCTTGGCGTCATCGTGCGTCTCCGTCCGCCGCCCTGATTCTTTGAGGTAGGAGGAACAAGCCCTCCCTTGGATGGCTTGGATGGTCACTTTTCCTGCTTTTGTTTTCTGTATCCGAATTTGTACTCTCCTCTTCTATGTGTTTGGTTTGAGCAGGAAGTTACCCTCTGAGTCTCCCAAACGCGTCTTCCTATACGATCTTTCTCTTCTTTTGACTTGCAGCGACGCCCAGAGGTTTTCCCGGGGAACTGCACTAATGGCTTGTAAACGTTTGAAGTTTTTTCCCTTTTCTTTTTTAAAATTATGGAGTATTTATTTGTATTTAAATAGACAATTTATTATATTGTTCCAAATTCTGAAGGTACATATTGCATATGTTCTTACTCCGATCCCTGTATTGTGTAACATTTTCTCTCAAGTGAAATAAGTATAATGTGTCATGTGTATCCTTCAGAGACATGTTCCACATAGTGCAGATTTTAATAAATGTTATCCCTCCTTTTACACAAATATGAGCATACAACATACCATAATTTTCACCTTGTTTATATATATAGCTATTTATATTTATATATTTAAATATGTTTAGTATGGGGGACTCATCATATCTTGAGGATCATCTCATACAAGTACACAGAGGCTTCTCATTTATCTTTATAGCTATCTAGTTGTCCACTGTATAAATATACAAGAATTTTAAAATCAGAATTATTATTTTCTAAGAGGAAC